ACTTTTTTTAATATTTGATTAGGCAGAAACTTCTTGAAAGCTGCCATATACCCAATCAATTTTGTCACCCCCCCCTCTCCCATCAACACACAAATAAACACACCCTATTTGCCTGTTTTTGGAAATAGGCCTAGATGGCAAAGTTAAGATAAAACATATTTTGTAAATGATAATTTTAAATTTGTTCTTGTACTATACATGTATCTGAACACCTGCATCACATTGGGCTTGCGTCACGTACCCAACTTAAGTACTAGTTTTACCATTATCATTTTTAGATTGCATTGCACGTGCAGTGTGATATACACATCATTGCATGTATGTCAGTAGGAATTATTTCATTTTGTGTTTTAATTGGATTATATTTCATGAAGTTGACAGGACCTATGACAGTCGATAAGTACAAGTTTTGGTATAGATTTGGGTAAAATAGTCTGAAATGCAAATGGTTAGGTTAAAGTTTAAAGGATCAAAGGTCATCCGATGCTACAATAGACGAATTTCACATTCAGTTACAAGATCCAGAATTTTTTTCCTGGGAGGGAGGGGGATTTCCAGACAAGAATTTCCTGAGAAGCAAAAAAAAAGAAGTTATGGTGGGATCTGTTTTCTAGGGTGGAGAGCATTCAAAGTCATTTTTATTTGCCTCAGTATATATTATAGTCCTGCAAATTCCGGGGGGGGGGACGATCTCCCAATCCACTCCCTGTCCCTGTAATGACAAATGATCATGCGACTCCTAAATAGTTGGAAACTTTTTCCATTTGACTATACATAATTTTGTTTCTTGTGTTATTATGTTATGTAAATTTAATGGTATAAAGGTTATGAACCCCTGGAGGTCATCCCCACTATCTCCTAATGAACTGGAAATGTTCACAATATGACTGCATTAAATTAAATAAAAGCACATCAATGATAAGATTGCTTGACATTTTATTCATGAATTTGTGTCAACCTATTTGTATTATATTAACATTTTTTAAATGTAAAAACAAGTAGTAGTTTGCCTACATGAACACAAACAGGGGTCTGGGAAGGGGTGAGGGGAAGGATCGAGTTAATATTTCTTTACGTCTTGATGGTTGAAAACTCCAAAAATGAATGTTGACCTCAAATCTAATTTGTCCTCATTATTTTTCAAGTGGTGGTGTCTCCATATGAGTGAAAAATTCCTGAGAGGGATGTTTAACAAACAAACAAATGACAAATAAAAACACAATATTGATTTGCGTTAAGAAATATGCAGGGGATTTTTTCCATCATAAATCTTCTTCTCAAGAACAACAAGGGCATTATTGTCCCCCGTTTTTGGGAAAGGGAGGGGACATTAAATCTTATTTGTCTGTCAGTCTGCCCATCTTATTGACAGTATGTGCATCTGTCACAATAAATTTAACCTTGGTCATAACTTTGGAATAATAAGAGATAGGGCTTTCATATTTCACATGTACATTACCACAAAACTATCTAAATAATATACTATGATTTTTTAACCCAAGTGAGATCTTGACCTTAAAGTTTTACCACTTTCCAAAAAATAACATTTTAAATTGATCATTTTAAAAGAGAAAAGATAGGGCATTCAAATTATACATGTATATATATATTACTTGTGAAAAGACTTCTCTAAATATATCATGACTTTTGACTCTGTGACCTTGACCTAGAAGTTTAACCTACTTTTCAAAAATATTATATTATATATATAACTTTTGATTGAAAAGAGATAGGACTTTCATATTTGACGTGTACATTACCTGCAACAAAATGTTTCCGAGCATGCTATGATTTTCCCCCTTTGACCTAATTTTCGAAAACTGACATATGATAGGGGTGCATATTTGTCACACAATCTGCCATAAATTATGGCATCCCATTCACTAAAACACAGAAAGCAGAGGACCACAATTCTTTGAACTTGCTTGTATAATCTTGATATGGAAACATCCTCATATAATGTAGATTCAAGTTTTTTATGCCACGCCATGATTAAGAATACATGTATAGTTTTTGTCATGTCCATCCTCCACCCTTCCATCTGTCTTTCCATCGGGCTCAAAGAAACTTTCTAGATATTTTTATCAAAGTTCATATGTTGATGCATACTGATGTAAACTATCCAAATGCAGCAATATTTTTTTACCTTGACTTTTCCTTTGACCTTCACTTAACTTTTCTTTAAATTAGTGTTTAGCTTTATTTTAAAGAAACCAGTCAAGTGATGTAATGAAACTTCACATGATGATACATACTGATGTAAGCTTTACAATGCTTCACTCTTTTTTACCTTGACCTTTCCTGTTACCTTGACCTCGCTTTTCTAAAATTAATGTCTAGATCAGTTTTGAATAAACAATTCAAGATATATTTATCAAACTTTATGCTGATACATACTGCTGAGAGCTATTAATGCATCAACTTATTTTGACCTTGAATTTTCCTTTGACCTTGACCTCACTTTTTAAAATACGTGTTTTTCTAAGTTTTAAATAAACAATTAATTATATTTTTGTCAAACTTCATAAGCTAATAGTAAATTCATACTGATGTAAACTTTCCAACTGCAACAACATTTTGACCCCAACCTTTCCTTTGATCTCTCTTTTCTTAAAAAAAGGTGTTAAGCTCAGTTTCATTAAATCATTCAAGATATTTTTGTCAAACATAATATGCTGATATGTATTAGTGAGAGCTATTCAACTGCATCAAAAACTTCACCTTGCACATTCCAGTGACCTTGACCTCCCTCCTCTTTAATTTGTATTTTGCTTAGTTTTAAAGAAATAATTTAAGATATTTTTATGCTTAGCATGCACTTATACATAATTTGGTGAGAATTTATTATCTATATCCAATTTATTTAGATTTTAGTTTCAATTCTAAAGAAACTGTTGAAGATATTTTCATCAAACTTTATACACTAATACAAATTTTCATGTAGCATTAGTAATATACATCCGGCGGGACATTCATGTCGTACAGACATATTTCTAGTTTTTCAAATCATGACCTCAAAGGCTAGGGTCAGGCCACAATTAGGGATCAAAGTTTTATTTAGGAATAAAAGGAAACAAATCTTCAAAATTCTTCTTTTCAAGAACAACAAGAGCATGATTAATATGGAAATATTCTCAAGAGCTGTAGATTCATGTTTGTACAAATCATGACCCCCTGGGTTAGGGAGGGGCTATTTTTTCCTGTCCCTTTTTGTCATCCACATGAAAATGCAAATTTTGAAACCATTTTACACATACACAAAACAAACCAATCATTTTCCAAATGATCATGGTTTAAAGCTAATGCATAAAATATTAGGGAAGTTCTTGAAAGCAGGGTGATTAAACATATCAAATATTTAAAAAAAAAACAACAAATTTCTACCCCCATTTGACCCCCCGGGGCAAAATGAAAATTCCGAAACCTTACTGCACATCTACATGACACCACCAACCAACTCTTAAAAGATGATTAGGCTACTGAGTCAAACATAGGAGGAGTTCAGGGAAGACGGGGCTTTTTGCATAAAAAACGTCATTTTATGACCCCCATTTGACCCCCGGGGCAAAAAAAAAAACATTCCGAAACCTTACTGCACATCTACATGACACCACCAACGATCTCTTGAAAGATGATTAGGCTACTGAGTAAAATGTAAGAGGAGTTCAGGGAAGACAGGGCTTTTTGCATAAAAAACGTCATTTTTCGACCCCCATTTGACCCCGGGGCAAAAACAAAATTTCGAAACCTTACTGCACATCTACATGACACCACCAACCATCTCCCAAAAGATGATTAGGGTACTGTGTAAAATGTAGGAGGAGTTCAGGGAAGAAAAGTGTGACAGACGGACGGACGGACTCGAGTAACAACAATATACCCGAACTTTCTTTAGAAAGTGCGGGTATAATTACTACTTTAAAATGTTTACTCACAAAAAAGATTGAGGTACCTTACCAGGCATTTGTGCGAGATACCAGACCATGGCATTTCTTATGTAACCCTTTAGGGGGGAAAAAATTAGTTTGCCAAAATCACATTTTTCATGTGTTTTTTAGTGTTTCAAATTTTTGAAACAATTAGAAACCACTTTAGAAATCATAAAGTTATTAAAATTTTATATATTTTTTATACTTTACGAAGATATACAAAACAGATACTTGGGGAACGTATCGTCTGACCTTAATATATGGTTTGCCCTCTTTTTGTAAAACAAACCAGAATCAGGATACATGGTAAATAAGTGTTATCTAACTTATCTTTTAAAAAATCAAGACCAATAAATATAGTTTGGTTTATGGATAATCGTAACTTGGCTAACAATGCTGATAAACAAGGTACAAATAAAACAAGCCTGACCTGAAGAGAAGATACTACCATGTGCGATAGTAGTCACAACAAAGAAAATTAATGGATCTACAGAAAGAAAAAATAGAAATCTACAACCCACAAGGCTTAAAAAAGAGATCTCATTTGGAATGGGCTAAAATGTTTTTTATAGGAAGTAACATCTAAAAGTAGAATTTTCAATGTTGTCATGTGAATGTTTAATATTTTCACTTTGTATCCAACGCATGTAGGATTAATAATTTAGGGAAGTGTAGACAATTTTCTTTAAACCATAATTAAATCACATTAATTAGATTTATTTTAGCATTTTATCTTTGTGAAACTATGGATAAAAATCTAATGAGCTTACAATTTGAAGTAGATTAGAATATTTGGACTTGCTAAATGTGCCGATTTTAATGAGTGAAGGCAAGTGTTTTGCATAATCCCTGAACAAAGTATTTATAGTTTGTTTTAACCGTTCAAGAAACATGCATCATTAAGGTTTCTTTCAACATTCTTTTTTGTATTAACTGGCTTAATATATAAAATTACAAAAATTAAAGTAGACTTCAAGTTTTCGCCACAAAATTTAATACAATTATAAACTATTCAGAATAAGAATAAATAAGATCATTTATAGAAAATAATAATGTGTTTTGTAAAAAAAGCACAAAAGTTTTATCAAAACTTTGGCAAGATACCTGAGGCAGTATGTCTATACAGTCTGTGAAAGAACAAAATACTGCACAAAACAGATGCACCACTTAACACGTCCGTAATTCTTACATTAATCAAAGTATAGTCCATAGATCATGGCCACTGCAAAAATGGACGAGTTGGAATATTTAACACTAACGAAATTGTCCGTGTTTTTATTCCATAAACATCGACTTCCGAACTGCATGCCTGGTTTTTCCTTCAGTGAGCCGATACTGACGTTTGTGACGATTTTATAACGCTTAAATCCCATTTGTTTAACTCTATCTAAAATATCCACGGCCACAGTTTGACTGACGTCCCGACATTTGACGGGGTCATACTCAATCTTAGCTAAATGTTCCGCTAACACAGCTTCGGCAAGCTTCTCCACATCACACACCCGGAAAACTTTATCCTCATCCGGTTCTAGTTTATAGGTATTTTCCATCCGGTATGCTTTTCGCGGCATGTCGTTTGATCTATCACCTATGGAGGTAATTTCCAGCGCTGCCCCGGGGTCGGCTATAGGACCAGATCCTGACTTGAAACCGTGGGCAAACCTGGCTCCTGCAATTGACCCCCGAACTCTTTTTCCAGGGGTAGTGGCGTCACTTCGTGGATAGTTAGAATACCTACGGGACATCTCTGCAGTCTTCTTTATCTTCCTTTTTATTGATAAGATGTACTTCTTATACCGAGGATGGGTTACTATCTCCTGAGAAAGATCGAAGTTCAAAACACTTAAGTAGCTGTAGTATTCTAAACTAACTGGTTAAACAGTGTAGACTGTCGAGTCGCCTGGTTTGTTTATAAAGCAAACTAAGTTTCGCTAGTGCATACAACAGCTTCGAGACGCTCTCGGTTAAATCGCTTTAATTTGAATTGAATACACATAAATGTCCATTATGAGCAACTCCAGATCTTTCATTGACTATTTAGATTTCTAATGTCGGAAAGTAATTATGAATAACAAAGCACCTGTTTCCAAGTTAAATAAAACTTTGCTTTAATTAGATTAAATGCCCGGAAACTATGGCATATTTCTCATAGAATCCACGTAGAAAATTTCCACATCTACGGGAAAATGGGTTCCAACAATGTCTATAGCAATCGGAAAATATTCGCTCCAAAATAGACCGGATAGGACGTAATGGTTAGAAAACGATTCCACACTGCTGTTTTTCTCTTCACTAGCTCCCTTTCTTTCACTGAAGTAAAATGAATTAACCCTTGGACGTTCCAATTTTCCCCGACCCCTCTTCCTTCTAGACCATAAATCCGACATGGCTCTTTCATCAAAGATTAATCTTAATATTTCTTAATCCTTTAGTAGCCATATTTTTTTCACTTCTAATATCAAATGCTTTAAAACAACAAATCGGCTTTACATGTCGCGAGTGTTTTAATTCCTCATTAAAAAATCCATACCCCCGATTTTTCAAAGGTTATTAAATTTCTTCACGGATCATTCAATATCGCTCGATATTAAATGCAATCATAACTAAATGCACGGTGTAGGACTTTAAAATGCATTCATTGTTACGGATGGCGTTATTCATTTGAGATAAATACTGGACAGCTCTAGATCTACCAAATCGCGAAATCAATCTATAGCGAGATTTAGGGTATTCATATACATTAACCTGATAGCTAAACACTGATATGAAATATTTATATCTTGATTTATCAAATATAGATGTCAGAAGTTGCTGGGAATTAGTTTTTGTTCGTTTATATATAAGTTTTTTGATATCTTAATTATTGATATGTGACAAAATAATTATCATAGTATTAATCATAAATTAAATATTTTAATAATTTTCATTTTTATGTAATTTTGTAAACTCTGTCTCAAGATTAGTTAAGCAAATATCATTCCTCATAATAATAATGATAATTTTAACAAAAAGTGTTTTAAATCACATGGTTTTTTACTAAATTAATTATTTAAAATAGTTTTTAATTTTTTTTCAGTTTGTTTATGCCTTAAAGGAATTAACTAAGCACCACCTAAATTTTACACTCTTAACATATTGAAAAAAAACTATTGACAATATAGCCAAATTTGGACTGACAGAAATTATTTCGTTAAAGGTATTGCTCGTGTATGTATACATTTTCAACGTAACTAGCAACTTTTTAAAAAACAAATTACACAATACTTTCAGATGCTGTCAGAAAATTAATCAGCATTCATTTTCAGGAGTTTTAAAAAGAAATCTAATGTACTTGTTTATTTAAAAAAAAATAAAGATATATATAGTTAAAGAAGTTTTACCCTGCATGTAGAATACGTCGTCAACATTATGAGACAGTATAAAAGTCTCAAAAGTTTGTTCAGTTATTGGAATTCTACACCAATATAGAAAATGAGAAAATAAAACTCAAAACTACTTTGGGTTTGTCCTGAAGTTTTTAACACTGCGCACTTAAAGTTTAAATACAGGAATTTTTTTTTTTTTTTTTTTTTGGCAATTAGAGTGATCTGTCCTTTGATCTTGAATATTATAAATACATTATTTTACTGTATATGAGGCAATTTTTACACATATCTTTTTACACATTACTTTTATTAGTTGGTACTTGTTGGAGCAGGGAAGGGCATACCCCTTCATTTGAAAAGAATGGAAAGCTTACGTAGAATACAAAATTTGGTTTTCCTTTCGCCATTAAGAATGCAGACAGACATGAACCTACGACCAATAAATATTATTTTGCTCAGATGATCCAATTAAATAAATAGAAATAGGAGTGAAGTTATATGCAAAAATATATCTGTAAGTGTAATGTTCATGTTGCTTAGTATTGAGAGAAAGATAATTTTCAATTAGTGAAAATATGGGAGAGGAACGTGTTGCGATTTCTTCGTTACTCTTCTCGTAAGTGAAAGAATCAAAACAGACAAACATGTGGTTTGACTAGATATGGTATATGCATTGTTTTAAACAATTCATCTTTAAGATAACTCCTCTTCCTAAGCACTCAGATTGATAACAGTCACTGTGTCTACTGAAAAAGAAAAGATAACGTTCTGATTATGTCAAAGTGTCCCGATATGACTTGAAGGCCGGAAAAAAGATAATCGGCAACGTCTTCTTACCTAATTTGAAAGATTTACATATTGAATCATTAAAAATCAATAGTTCAGTCAGAATGATGAATTTTTTCAACTCTGCTGAGGGAACATGCAAGTCATTGTACAGGAATAATTGCACAGTACAACATTTTCGAACCACAATGAAAATCAGTGTTCATTTTTTAACAAAATTGTAATATATATTGTATTATAATTAGATCCTTTCCTATCTTATGTGAAACATGATTTTCTCTTTACATGTACAACTGTAGACTTGCGATTTTGTAATTTTCATAAGGTAGCCTCCATTAGACAAAATATTATATATCTAATTTGATATTCTTTAAAACGTCGAACAATTACATGTTTCATGGTCATTTGGTTTGCATATCTACAGTTATACTGTAACACTAGTTTTCCGTCAATAATATACATGTACCGACCCTTACAAAGGTATATATTTTTTATATAATTTGTATAATTATATATTACAAACGTGCATGTTTTTTATCCCCTACCGCGAATAGAAAAAAATTCCAATGTTTGTTTGGCAGTTGGTGTTGAAATGATGTTCACTTAACATGGGCACTTTAAAATAAATGATACTCTAAATAGATCTAAATACTCTGTATATGTGAGTATTAGTTTAAGGCCACAGTACTGAGTATTTTAACCATATGCAAACATCAGATTTATATATAGGAATCTAGATATGCAGAAATAACACTTAAACATATTCGTGATGTTTTAATCATATTTTAGCAAACACTCGATCTAATTCATGAACAGTTTTAATCAGTCTGGCTCCTTTCGATTTTGGCGCCTTGCTGACGTCAGTGGCTTTGGCGGACGGATGCATAGTAACATTGTGAATTTGAGCATCACTTGGGTATTTTGGCGTTTGTCCAAGGATTTTTAAAATAGCATCCACAGTTGTAAAAAGTTCACTTTCAAATGCATTCATTCGTCTGCAAGAAAAAATAGAATTTTGTTTTATTTCTAATATTTAGTTATGTACGCCTAATTGGTTTATATCTACAAGAGTATCTTATATGAAATCTCATTTACATGATAAAGCAATTATGCTCTTTCGGTAAATAAAATGCAGATAAACATACTGTTGAAGAGCAATAAGTTTGTTGTCCATGTCGCTAGTCACGTGACTATAGTCACGATTTTCTCGTTGCTTGGGAACGTCGTAATCGACAGTGGTTAACTGAGGACCGGAACTGGAAAGAGATTTTGGCGTGTATGACGTAGCAGTAGATTCTATTGGTGAATTGTGATCACGTGCATCGCCTGATTCTACGTCAGGTAAGCGTTTGTCTGACAGGATTTCGGACTTGATTGCGCCCCACTTTGATTTGGCTGTCATTGCTGGACGTGGTTTGGTTCTAGAAATCTTATTTATCCTGGACACTGTTGTCACAGCGGAGAAAAAATTCGTCATGGCACCTGTTGTATATTGCAAAAATATTATATTGAAATATTTAACATGCAAAACATAAGATATGTTTTTTTATGCTTCAGAGTAATTGTTTTGTTTTTTTCTCTTGTAGAAAATTAGAATTCGGTAAACCCTTTGTCTTTTACTCTTTATGGTACCATTTTAATCCTTTAATGCTTCATCACAAAAATGCACATTACAAATGTTCAAGAGCCTCTTCTTAAGTCTTATAAACTTAAAACTTTTTGATCGAGCACACCTGACACTGAAGCAGTGGAATTCTTTCTTTTATGACTGACATCCTTCTCCTCTATGTCAACGCCCTCTGTCGCTTGTTCGGTAGAAAACTCCAGAATACCCACGTGTTCTTCGTCACTTCCACTTGGATCGTTACTGTTTCGATGCCTGATGTAGCTCTTCCGGTGCCTCATTGTTGGACCAGCTGCCAATGAAAGGTTGAAAAGTTACATGTATCTCTTTATACCTAGTAGGTGAAATGGTTTTTAAAAAATTAAACTGTTATTAGAATTTCTCCATGATAATTTTTGTGTAACTCCATGAAAAAAAAAGAAGTTGATGAGCATAATTCAATTTATCTGTAAAGCAGGTTAAAACTTTAAGCGTAAAATACAATCCCATACTATCTACAGAACGTCCTTTGCACTGCATTCTGGGACGTTTTTGGCGGATAAATTTAAGAGTTTCGTCTTCTATCTTCGATTTGTATTTTCTTTCCAGAAGTGTCCCCTGAAAACCAAATATGCCACTATAAAACATTCATATCATATGTTTCCAACAAAACACAGATTTTGTAGTTAAACAATTAAATTGGAGAACATGCAGATTTAGGAGGATTGTAGACTATGATTTTGTTGTTTCTAAATTAATTGGAAATTAATGAATTTTATGGTACAGTTTACTAGTATTTAGTAAAGACCTTCTTTAAATCAAAGGTCACATGGAACTTCTTGATGAACTGTTCTGCAAATTCTGGGTAAGTCTGTAAGACTTCCCTCAGGTCGTCCAGCTCTATTTTGTTGATGTCGCAATAAGACAAGGCCCGCACAAAATACAGGGACTGTCCCGCAGTGTCCGAATCCTTCATGTCCGCTCCAAATATGTCATGTTTACCTAAAGAAATTGAATATAGTCAAACTATTATGAATATTAAAATTGTAATTGCAAATGTCAATGCTGTTGAATTTGCTATGCCTAAACAATATTTCATTTCATAATTACATATATTTACCTGTGTATGTTTTTTTGAAATATACTTTGATTTAAAGGGAATGTCAACTAGAAGGATCAGAGTATGGCTACATAGCGCATGCGTAGTTTTGAATTTTAGAGATAACGCATTGATATCTTGAAATACAACTTGGTTTTATTTTATGAAACATACCAAGTATTGCCATAACAGAGTCGTCCTTCATGATCTCCACAGACCCACGCGCCATGAAATAAATGGCTGTAAGAATGTCTCCCGGATGAATAAGTGTATCACCAGGCGGCGCATGCGTGGTTTTGAATTTAAGTGATAATGAACGTAAACAACCTAAAATGCAATATAAAACAGAAACCGATGAATTGTGTTATCTTTCAAATCACTTTAATCATACTAAATTTTACTTTTTTCTTGTTAATACTTAAAAACTTGACAAAAATTAGCAGGGTTATCATACTGCTTCCTCTATTTCAGTGATAACGAATAAGTTAACTGTATAATATGAGTACCTGGACTAGCTCCCTTAAAAGCCTGACAGTTGGTCAGCAGATTTTTATTGAGGTGTAGACAGATATCAGACTGGAGACAATCAGGAAATCCCTTCAGAACCTATCAACACAGAATAGCACATAACATAAGCTGTGTCTTATTCGGCATTTCATTAATTCTATTGTCGTTATAATAAACTTAAGAAATATAACTTAATATGTAATATTGGGTGTGTTTTCACTGACTTGCAATTGTACTATTAGTCAGGCCCTTATTTTTAGACTGAATTTCACTATAGAATGTTCTGTCAATCTGATCAATGCAAACGGAGGGTCTGGCTGATTTGCAGAGGATGTTTACTCCTCCAAGGCACCTGATCCCACCTCTGGAACTACAAGGGGTTCGTGTTTTATGCCCTCTTAACCGATTTGTATTGTTTATAGATTTCTTGAGATCGATCACTCTTTGTTATGTTTTTCATGGTATATTAACATTAGTATGTCTATCAGAAACGGATTGAAATATGCTGTATTTTGAAACTTTTTAATTATTAAATGACTTACATTTCCCATGTCCACTCCGTTAGTATACGTCCACGCGTGCTGGAAGGATTCCTGTAGTCTGGTGGCCAGGTTCTTTGGCAAGTGGTGGAAATTGATGAACTCTTTAATGCTGGATACTCGCTCCTGATAGTCGTCTGATCCCTGATACATACGTAACATGATGGAAGAGACGTTACCAAAAATGGCGGCACTCAACAGAGCTGTAAAAGCAAGAGATAACACTGATTTTTGCCAAAAGGCAAGGGAAAAACAAAATACCCCAAAAATAAGTAAAAACATAAATTACACCAAATAGAAATATCAAAAGAAATTACATTCGAGAACATTTGATTGAGAAATTTGGCAAATCATTCAATGCTATGTAAAGAACGTTTGTTTTTAAAAGGATAATAATAATATCTCATTGGCTGCAATGGTCTCTACTTGAAAAAAAAAAACAATTTGCAGAAGATCAGTTCGGCAATTATTGTAAAACAACCTATAAGGTATAAAAAAAATGTATTTGTTTGTTTAAAAGCTATAGAGGACGAACAAGAAAAAAACAAGTTCAGCCTTTTAACCACGGCTGAACTCCATCTATACGCTTGTTGACATTACAATAAATGTCTGTCATAGTTCTATCAACCCAACGGTTGCATTTGGTGTAGTAATACCAGTAATGTAGTTCTGTAGAAGTTGTAAACGTCACTTGTGATCGATATGAACTAGCTTAGATTCAGCTTTATGCCATTCGACTGATTGCTAGTCTTAGGCTTCCGATGCTAAGCCTTATCTGTATTTAGATGTATGCGACTTGCATACGTATGATTGTTAGGGAAACATGTGAAAGATGTAAATATAAACCATGTTTAAGGAGGCTCTAACTGAACTATATTTTCTCAAAGAGTGAAAAGTTCTCAAAACAATTTTCCCACTGTATATTTAATGCATACGAATTATACATACAAATCAAGCTCGCATAGATGATTGTATACACAGTACCAAAACAAGTAAAGCACTGAAGCTTTTTCATGAGTGTATTTATGTCTTATAATTTTTCATGTGTGGGTTTTCTCAGTTTGGTTGGTTACATAAAATGCTTTAGATGCTGCATTTACAGAAGCATCTTTCTCAGTTCTAGAGTCGATAAAGTTCAACACTTGCATGTGCACATGAGGTAGACGAATCTCTTATTGCACCAGATACTGAATAAGACTTAAAAAGATCCATTTCTAAGGGAATTTGCAAAGATACCTACGAGAAATCTGACCTAATATGTTGCATGTTATGAACATGTGCCATGTACTGTCATTGAATGCTTTCTGGGCTATTTGTGCCGAAGAGCATATTATTCAACCAATAAATATTTTTCTAAATCTAAATTTCAGTCCACTTTTACTATTAGAATAAGAGAATATTTTTTAAGAATCATTCCTGGAGTCAAACTGCAGATTGCAGGTGTTTTATATATACCATTCCAAGTTTCTAATTTTTTTTATACCAAATTAACAATTATTCATAGATCAAAGATGTAGCAGAAGTTGAACTAAAACTATCATTGCACGATTGAGAAACTTACACCCAAGCAACATGGCGAATATGCTGAAGATTTTTTCGGCATTCGTATTTGGCGCCACATTGCCGAATCCAATACTTGTCAAACTGGTGAATGTGAAGTAAAGTGCGGTTATATAACGTGTTTTGATTGGTGGACCACTCATCGTATCATTAGGGAGATATGGCATATTGTAGGCGTCGGCCAAGGAATCCAGCCATCCGATTCGTTCAGGAAGATGTGGGCGCTCCATGTATGCGATTGCGTAGAAGATACATGCAAGCCAGTGGCCAATCAGTGTAAATGATACCATCAACAACATCAGAACAGCCGCCCCATATGCAGCAAATTGTTCGATCCGCCTCAAAACTCGAAGAAGACGTAAAAGACGGGCGAGCTTGAGGATACCAGTAATGGTCATTCGCTGTAAAAATATTAATAAAACATTTACACTAAGAAGGGAAATAGTTGTACATGTATATCTAACAAATTAAGGAAAAACTAATAGGAGAAAAACAAATTTCGATTATTTAACAACATGGGGATTAAAAGTTTCAAATCATATTATCAAATTAATACTGAGGTTATCTAAATAGTTTAAACCTCATAGACATCATTATATTATTACATCACTATTCCCTGATCCAAAAAGTAAAAGGTCAAAGGGCATAGCTGCCACACAATCGATAATGAACCATCCCTTGATGTAGTTGATGGCGATCTTTTGGGGATCCATGATAACCTCCCCACTATGTAGGTAAGTCGTTCGAAAGTTAATTAAAATATCTGCTATAAACATAATATCCACAATCAAGTCTATAATAACAAAGGGGTCTGTTTTAATTGTTTCCGCGTGTTGAAGTCTCGTAGCAGAATCTCGATGTAGTCTCATCATAGCCTCGTCTTCGTTCAAAATGAAAGCCACAAAGTATGGCGTAAACACGGCGGTATATAACACTAGAAATAATACGATCCAGTCCCATACCGCCTTAAAAGGGGAATAATGAAGGATAAGGAATTTGGCGGGTTCCGGTCGTTGGACTTTTGCTTGACTCTGTATCTGTTGGAATGCTTCGTGTTCCTCGCTTTCGTTGTCTCGCTCACTGAGAGTCTACAGTTCAAAAAGAATAAAGAAGTGAGCATGAGAGCTACTCGATTTAATGGTCAAATAAAAATGATATTGGAATTGATAGAATTCCTGAAAACTTCGCTACAGTTTGTCAAAAGATATAATTCAAAATTATTTAATAGAAGACTGAATTCGAAGCGGAAGTCTTCTAAAGTTCCGGTGTATCGTACGATAAGTATCAATTTTTCAACTTTTAAGCATTATTGGTTTTATTTTAATCACAGAGCAGGAGCAAACAAGTTTGATAAACTTCTTAACATTTCAATTCACATTTTAAACTTCAAATTTTCATCTTGCCAAATACTTTTAATGCAGAAATAATTTATTTTCTTGCAGTTAAATCAAGATGCTAAAAACACATCATGTAAATTTTCTTTGATAACCAACATACCTTGTTTAACTCAGATATAATATTGCTTATATACATGTTCATAAAATTAACTCAAACACACAAAACAAAACACACAAATTCTGAGACTCAGTCTGCAGAGACAAGTTTATCGATGATTTTGATCATCTGTCTTCTTTTCGTCTACTAGACATAATAACAGGGATCGCTGTATCATAATGTTTGACATCTTGTAAGTTGTGTCCCGTCTCCTTTTCAATTATCCGGAAATCAATATAGGATTGTATTAATCAGAATCAATCGCGTTAAGGATTTCCGTAAGGAATTAGATATCCTTCAAGGTCTTTGCATCCGTTTTTTTTCTTTGACCATTTGTGAAAACTTTCTTTTTCTTTATGCGTCCTTCAAAATTGTAAATATCCTTTAATATTTTTGAGATCATTGCGTGTTTTTCTTGGCAGATTATGTTTCTGTCATGTTGTAAATTTTGAATTTACCGGGTGGCAGTAAATACAAAATTTACAACATGACAACTTGTAAATTTTGTATTTACTGCCACCCGGTAAATTCAAAATTTACAACATGACATTTCTGCATTTTGTCAGTTCTTGATGTGCTATTTTCTGCATGTGGAAATTAAAATAATAGGCGTTTAACTTGAATCCGATCACGCAAAAGGGCGATTATATTTATTTTTTATTTGTGAATTAGTTTTGCAAGTAAAAGGAAATCATAACCATTGAACAGAGAGGTACATGTTGCTGTATTCACTGAAGAATCATTTGGGATTGGATTTGCAGCACAGAGAAACATTTTATTAACGAAGTCGTGACTTGGTGTGAACTTTTATCAATCAAATCCAAGGATGCAAACAAATAATATTACGTTATAATTGCAGGCCCGATCAATTCTGTAAAATAAGGAGGTTTGCCAAATTTGGCGCGTTCTGTCAATGCCTTATGAGGGACAACTGCTTACCGATATTGTCTGGGAACTAAAAGTTAACAGCTAATGGAAAGAGATTTAATTTTTATACAAAGAAAATAAAACGTTTTTCGCATACTTTCCTGTCGTCGCAGTTCTAAAGTATAATTACCACTGCATAAAATTATTGTTCATCAAGAATCCTGCTAATTCAAAAGACATTTTATAATCAAAAAAAAAAATACACCAAGAAGATAAAAAAATGTAACTTACTTTTTTATCTGACGCAGTTTCGGGCCTTTCCGTCTCCTCTGCTATTGGTCGGAATGAAGTCTTTCCCTTTAACTCCTTGAGAACCCTCAACATGATAATTTTGTTTTTTGCCTAAAAATAATATAGGGTGAAAGATAAGACCTATATTTATGCTAAATAATTATCTGGAGATTAATTAAAAGTTGATTAATTTTTGGAAAACAAATGAGATTTGCTGAGAGGGAAAAAGGGAGGAAAAGGTATTTATTAACGAAGTGCTTCTCTACTAAGGGCTTTGGACCTAAAGCAGTGGTGAAGAAATTGCCGTTTTCTGATTTGCTTTTGAAAACTAGAATAAGCCTACCGCTAATATTCAGTTAAAAGACCATTTTGTAGCTAAAAGCATCCTTAATGATGCATGTTCCTTAGAGTAATTTTAGTATGCACATTATTCTCTTTGTTAAAACGATGGGAAAATTTTCAGTTCAAATAAAAACATTTTAAAAGAGAAGATTTTAATGCTTTTAAATATTATTTGATTAAAAATTACACTACATGTATACGGTATAATGACCAATTAAATAATTATTAATCTTTCTTTTACTTGCTGAAAAAAATGTCATTACTTATTCATAAAACTTCACATATTTAAACAATGAAGATCTTTTTAATTCGTGCCTTTGCATTTATGTGGATTGCAAACATTTATCTAAACCATTTCTTTTCATATGTAGAGATAATAAAAGGTAAAAAAAAAATCTCTCTTCTCTGGATATTCCTTTTTCTGGCTTAATAACATCCCCATCATCAAAAAGAGCTACTTTCAATACCTCGTATCTCAGATGAAAACTGATAGCTCCTTGATTCAATTATTAATCTGTTAGCGCGGCCCCGAGGTTAGATGCCATATTTGATCTTAGATCTTTATTGGCGAAGTCTGCGATGAAAAATCGTACACTTTTGACCTACAGTATTTAATTTTCCGTATCTTTTGAACGATCGAGGACTGTTCATTCATTTTTTATACGTTTTGAGCGGAATTCTCTTTTATGAGGTTATTCACACGATAGAAATATTTCAATGTTTTTACTGGGGTGTTTTATATACAGTATATATTTCTTTTACTTTTCTGAATGAAATATAAAATATCCATTGTAAATATTTTCTCAATTAATCAGCTTAGGATATTAATTGTGCTATCTAAAAATCGATCTTTCAACAAACAAGACGGCATTGTATATTTACAGTTAACCTTTCTGCATTTGAAGACTTTTTTTTCAAACACGTTGTCGGGTTTAATAAGGATTTATGATTTCTCAAATGTACCTTTACAAGTAAAATTGGTTCTTCTCATGTATTGTTAGGAATGTAAGGCGTCCGGATTATTTGTGTCCGTATAACAGAAGGTCGACTGTATGGATGATTTGAAAAGTAAACTTAATATTGACAATTAAGGCTCAGTTAATTTACAGATATCAATTTCTTCCACGACAAATATTTCCTTTTGAATTGAGTGCAAAGGAAAAGCATTTCCTTTTTTTATTATCTATTCAGGTCCACTTTTAACCTTCATATCTTAAAGTTAAAGTCACAAATTATTTTTGCCTTAAAAATAGTTCTTGACGAAAAATTATTTTTCAATAGTTGTAGATCTAATGGGTTATAAAAATTTTATTTTTAAGTCAAAACACTTTTTCGTAGTTGCCACCATGTTTGTCATTAAAGAATATATTAATTTAGAAAAAAGATCAAGGCTAGATTACACGTGTAAAAGGAAAGTAAAACACACTTATAGCGAGCGCAGCGAGGCGGCGCGAAGCGCCGCTCGCGTAGCGAGCTCAATAGACTAACGTGTACGAACGGAGGAAATTCGGGTTGAAATCTGCACATTGTTCCAAGAAATTTTTATCTGACCGCGTGAAAAAATTCTAAAATCCCAGTAATCCTTTGCGGTGCATGGCAACCAGAAGGCTAAAACATAGCAACAACTTACTTGAAAAAAAATTACAAACAACGTTTTTATGCAATATCCTTGCCACAAAACTATCGTTTGCGTTTTAAAACCCCTGTCACACCGGGGCTGCGTCCTCACGGCGACTGCACGGCGTCCTCAAAAAATGCAAAACGCCGAGATGATCGCAGTAGAGTCTCCTACAACGCCCTGACAACGCGGCGAGATCTCCACTGAACGCCGTAGGGTCGCGGAGGGTCTCCAAGAACGCCAGGGGACGGCGATCACTTTGGGCATGCACAAAGTACGCGCCGTGTGATCGCGGTTTGACAAGAACGCAGTGGAAACGTAGTATGATCGCCGTAGCAGCGCGGTGAGATCTCCAACAACGTAGAGGGAGCTCCGTATAAACGCCGTGAAGACGCAAGTAGTATAAGGGGTCTAGATAGCCC